CAATTATGGGATAACTATGAATAAAAATAATCAATGATTTGTGAACCTGTTCGATTTCGCTCAAATTTGCTCTGAGGATTTCGAGGGTGTCATGAGATATGAAAAGAATTCCCCCTCCAGTTTTTATGAGAGAACCACTGGATAAGCGAATAAGATTGCATCAGCAATGAAACTTAATCAATGTTGGACTATTGAGATGACTGATACATTGGTTTATCTTAAATCACAGACTTAAATTTCATAAACAACAACAAAAAATCACGATGAGAATTCGACAAATAAGAACGACTAATTGAAACGTGAATGGAGTATTCACCAAAAATTGATCACCAGAGTACTTCTTACTCCAGCCGATACGTTGAAAACTGAATATTAACACTTGGAATTCTACCCTTCACCGGATTTGCGGACTCGTTATCATAAAACCGACTGATATATATCAATAATCAACGGAAACTTTTTTAAATTTCAATAATCTTTGATCCAGTAGCTTGTAATAATAATAACAACAACAACAATAATAATTTCGATCAGGAAAGGAACGAAAATATTTGAATTCATTCAAATCGCCTGACTTACACTGGCATTCTGAGAGCCGCCCGGTTTAATGAGTCACAGAAGAGCATCGCTCGAGGACAGCACCACGAGTACTTCTCACTCACTCAAAGTATCGTTAATTTTTCGAGTTGGTCGTGAGGTTGGGTGGAATCATTAACGTTGTTATTACTGGAAGTAGTAGCGGCCAACGCATTCATATCGAGATCATCCAACCAATAGAATGAATCTTTCGATTTTGGCGTTTCTAATTTTGACGTTGCATCACTTTCTTTCGATGTCTCATTCTGAGTATTATTTGTGCAGTGATGAGAATCATTCGCATAAACCTCTTCCATATTAACATTATTCAGCGTTGTTAATTGCTTTTGTTTATCGAACGTTTCGAGTATTTTCTCTTTATTCGCCAAGATATTCTCCGCACCTTCGAGAGCATTCTTCAAACGTGTCAATTCCGATGACTTTTGTGCTAAATTGCCATCCACTTCATCTAAATTAACAACAAATATACGTGTGTATCAATCTTGTTGGAATTAACACTGATAAGAACCCATCAACGAATAATGAAAACTGAATCAGTGAATATATACTTGTAAATACATTAACAGGTTTTAAGGAATCACCTTTCGAGTAGTTTGTTGTTGTCATTAGTGTGGTTGGTATTGTCTCAAAAGGTACATTCATTTGATGCTTCGCTGGATTGTTCAAAGGCTTCAACTGATAATAACTATATCCATAAGGATTAGTAATATTATCAGTGCTGTCCATATTGGTATGAGTTGTATTCACAACATTATTCATCACTTCTTTTTCACCAATTTGCAGCAGAGGGGTGCTGATGTTTTGCTGGTAATTATTGTTAAGTGGTTGAATGAATGCAGAACTTTGTGTTGATGGATGTTGCTGACCAACTGGAGTCATTATGATGTTGGACGTGAGTGACTCGAACGATGGCAGAGGTTGTTGTGCCTGACTGCTCGCTGCATTGTAGTATGTCACAAACACTGGTGCATTCAGTGAATTCGTCACTTGCACTGGACTATATGAATGATTAGGTATTACATTCATGTAGTCATTATTGACCATACCATCATTACTGTTACTTACAATCACCTATAAAAACCATTGTATATGCTACTGAAAGCATTTTATTCTCGTAATTTTACATGAAATATAACGCTTTAACGCGATTCAAACGAATCAAAAAGATCACCGGCTTAATACTGTTGGCTGTTTCAAATACTACTCTGACCGATCATTGGACGCATGTTCAATCAATTGCGGGGAGTGCTTTTTGGGGCTCATTTTGAGTCCCCCTTTCAAGAAATCATTTAGCAATACGGGAGAGTAATCCTATACCTCTGTGCTGCTCGTTAACACAATACTCGAAGTTGGGATTT